CATCTCCTTCTAAAGTAACACACTTTTTCATTATATTATCATGAAATGCTATCTTTTTAGCAGTTTCAATGTCTTTACAAATAAAGATTTGTCCAAAAATCCAAGTCATAGCAGGTGTAGTTTCTGCTGGAAAATCTATGAGAGACAATGCTGGTTGAACATTTTCCACACCACCTATCTTCTGTGCTAAATTAATTAATTGATTATCCATAGGTCTTCCATTTACTTTATTCAAAGGAATAATAGTTACACGTCTTTGTAACTGACCATGTTGAAGTATTTTCTTGCTAGTAGTTTCTGTATCTACTATTACATTATATAACTGAAATTTTTAGAATTCATTAAGATATTAAATTTGAATATACGAGTATTACAAGTATTTATGAGCATAATAATATTACTTAGAAAATAAATTTTATGTAAAAATCATTAAATACCTTCCCTCCTGCGGCTATATCTAAAGCATATGCTGCTTTTTTATCTTTTACTGTGATTAATTTGCATACGACTCCTTTCACAGAATCATGTTTAAAATTAGGATCTGGTTTTTGATATTCAAATCTAATTTGAGGATATCTTGATTCAAAATGATCCACTTCTTCTTCCAATGTTAATACTTCGTTCGTTAGTGCACGTTTTTCTTCTCTAAGTCGTTCTACAGATCCATCTTCGTAATTTAATTTCTTTAATTCGTTTTTTAAATATTTTATTTCTTTTTCTTTGTTTTCAAGATCTTTAGTATATTTTTTGTATTCGTCTCCAGTATTTTTTAAATCTACTTTCCTTTTCTTTAGTTGTTCTCTATTATGATTTAATGTCATTTCACATTGCTTACGTTGCGTTTGTGCTTCCGTTACATTTTGCTTGGCACTTATTAATTGCTGTTCCAATGTTGCGTTTTTGCCATCTTGACTTTCTAACAAACCAGAACTAATTTTTTGGTACTTTTCTTGCGCTAGTAATACTGCCTTACAATCCTGTTCATCTGTCTCTTTTAATGTCCTAAAAAGATCTTCAACTTTGGCATATTCTTTCTGCTTTGATGTAAAAGCATTTTCATCATCAACTACGTTAGCTTTTAATTGTTCTATTTCTTTTTTGCCAGTTTTAATATCTTCTTTATTACTATTAACTTCAGCTGTCAATTTAAATTGTTTCTTTTCTGCTTCTTTTAATTCATTCTCCAAAGATTCTAATTGACCTCCTGCTTCCTATAAAAATAAGATAGATGAATAAAAAATATAAAAATGTAACAATACATTTTTATTTAAAATACATACTGCATCCCTTTTTTTAGCCATTTCATCTAATTCTTTCTCTATATTCTTAAGTTCTTCATCACCAGCACTAATGCTTTTTTTTTTATCTTCTATTTTATTTTTGACATTTTGTACATTCTCTTCTGCATTCTGACATTCTCTTAAGGCTGTCACGTATCTCCATGCCAAGTAAATTCTCTTACAATGATCTAATTCTCTTTCTATACGTTGAAACTCAACATATTGTGTTTTTTCTTCTTTAAGTTTTGCTAGTTTTGGTCCTATCTCTTCTTTTAAAATCTGAAATAAAATACTTTCATTCAATTACATACTATTAAATTAGACAGACTTAATTGTTAGAATTAATCCATACATCATTTATTTCCTTTAGTTTACTATCTTTCTTTTCTATGGTTTTTAAAGCAGCTTCTTTCTTATTTTCATACATTCGAGTACCTGCAGCTTCTTCTATCATAGACAAAATTTCCATAGGCTTCATATTCAAAACTTTCGTAATTCTTCCTTGCATTATCAAAAAATGTGGATTATTTACATTCAATTGGACAGAACAAAACATATCTTGGACACGTTTATTTTGTACATTAGATCCATTGATCAAGTATTTATTTTTGCCACCAATTACAACTTGTCTTGTAACTGTTATTTCTTCATGATGTTCATATCCCATAGGTGACGAATTTCTATCTCTATTGTCAAATATTATAGTAACACTAGCTTTCTTTATACCTGCTTGACCAGATTTATAAACTAAGTCTTGTAATGATGTTGCGCGCACCTATCATAAAAGGATAAAAAATACGTTTCTTCCAATTAATTTAATACAAATATTAATGTCTGAGTAAAATTGTTTAAAGCATATTTATAATGTAACTATACGCAACTCGCATCACATTATTTTCAATAAAACTATAATTGTATTGAAAAGCAAGAGTACATTGAGGTTACAGTTAAGATATTTCATTAATAAAAAAAGGTAAAAAACAATGTGTCACCTGTCCAAGATTCGAAATTCCCAGAACAAAGCATATTGCATCGAGAATGTTTGATTTCCCGCTACCATTAAATCCTGTGATCGCGTTAAATTCTTTATCGAACCCATTTATTTCGATTCTTTTTCCATATGATTTGAATCCTTCCAATACCATAGACTTAATATACATTGTACAGTCAAGTAAATGTACTTGAAAATATCACTTCAGTTGCACTTATCGCACTAAAGAAAACTATAAATTCAAATTGTGGACACTGGCCGGTATAACACATCATTTAGGATAATATAGAGTGGGAACTTGGGAACAAGTAGCCATCCGCAGCCATCGACATCTCTTCCACATTTGAGTTCCAAAATTCACTCAAAAATTTATGTATAAACCTCTCATTTAATTTTGTGACTATTATTACAATTATCAATAATTTCGATTAATATTTTGTTCCAAAATATAGCGAATATAATTTATTATAAAATATAAAGTGAAAAGTCATTTTACGATCTAGGGTATTTTAGAATGACTTTTCTAACACGCACCCAACCTGTGGTATAAAATGTCAATGACGAGCTAGCATCTCGATCTAATTAAGTTTCGGTTTTAAACCACAACAAAACATTTTAGAATATTAGAAGAATATCATTTTATTTTTTAAATACTTTATTAGAGAGAAGGCGTGAAACTACAAAGAAAATAATTTCTTTAGCACTAAAATAAAAGGTAATATGAAAATTATTGAAATTAAAATTAGTGTAAAATGTATTTTGTAGAATCGGATATAAGATTACAATACAATTCAATAAATCAAAGTTTATATTATTCGCAGTATAATAATTTTTAATAGTAACTGCAAATTTGAATTCTATTTGTGTTTATACATAATATATAGACTTTCTTAAATTATTGTATTATTAGGACCGCTATGAATATCCCACCAATTCAACAACCAGGAACAATTGGAGTAGGCCAAATGACACAGCCTGTAAATCCTCAGCTTCCGCAAAATCCACAACAAACGCAACAGCCACAGGTTCAGCAGCAACAGCAACAACAACAACAACAACAGCAAACTCAAGAAAAGCTTGACAATATTTCCAAAGTTAAATCATTAATTGGTCCATTAAGGGAATCATTAGCCATAGCTCTTAAAACTGCAGCACATACATTACATCAAAACAGTTTGGTAGATGTTGGATCTCTAAAGGGCGGTGTGGATCAGTCTGATCATCGATTTAATAAAAATATGGAAGAATTTTATTCAATTTGCGATCAGATAGAATTACACTTAAAGACTTCTATAGAATGTCTATCACAAAATTCTAGCTCTGTAAGGTACCTACCAGTATCTGTTATACCAACACGTACTGATACTGTTGGAGCTCAAGAAGGACCTGCTTTAACATATCCTCAGTTTTTGATGACTGTAAGAGCTCAAGTTTCATTTGTTCGTGAAATTCATGATACTTTATTTTCTGCTGCACAATCAATAACATCAGGTGAATGAATGACTCTGTTAATAGGAAATTTATTATGATAAAAATAATAATAGTTAATTACTAATTTATAATACTGTAAGTCCAATTTTTTATGTGTCTTTTTTTGTGCCTTGTACAGCATAATGCAATAATGTATAGTTATACTGTTTTAATAAAATTCTAATTTATTTTATCTAAAAGAGATTTTTATTTTATCTTTTTGTACTATATATTTTTCTTTATTAATACATCTAAGATTCTTCATACCTCCATCTATAATAAGATATCAGTTCTGTGAATCATAACAAGTACATTATGTAAGAACAATAAAACAAATCAGTAGTCATTCGATTTGTATGAACTCTTACTAGATGAACATACAATGGATGAACATGTTTACAATCATAAGAAGTAATGTCAAGACATTTGCATGAAAAAAAAGAGTACTAATATGAATATCATGAAATTTTAATTGTTCTATTCATTACTAAGTTCAACTGTATGAGACATAGAATTCTTGCACAATTTCCAATGCTTTCTACATACATATATTTAAACATTAAAAGCAAACAAATATCAGTATGTGGCCCCTAATGTATCCTTGTGTACAACAATATTGATTAGATATTCATCGGAATTAAAAGTATGATATTCAAATTAATGTTAATGTTAAGGTAAAGCAGAAATAATATATCAATAGAAAGAAACTTTTGAAAGAGTTTTATATATTATAAGATGTTAACTCGCCCTATTATTTTTAACCAAACTGTTTATTTCGATCAAACCACAATTGACTGAGAAATGAAATACATCGATCTGAACATAAACAGAAGCAGATAAAAAAGTATGAAAGCTGGAAGATAGTAAGAAATAGCGGATCAACACAGAAAGCCGCTTATCAGCCGTATGTTTTAGTAAGCACGTAGAAATAGGAAGGACATACCGGTAAAAGAGGAGGGGAGGAGAGGCGTGCAGGAAGCGCTACTGTCAGTTGGATTGGTGTTTTGTCGCGGCGCGCCGAGTGATCATTTGAAAAGGAAGGACCACCTCTGTTCACCATATTTGGCAAACTTTCCCTAATATGGTAACGTCTACTTCTAAATATGGCAGCCGGGGACGCCCTCTCGCTGATTCCTGTACTACTCCGCGCGATCTTTCAGCCGCAAATTTTGGGATATCAAATTCGCGTAAAACCGATTTAACGCCAGATCAAGGACCACAGTTGATCCGTTAATTTTTCTACGAAGAAATTTTTAAAGATCTTCGTCCAGGTAACTCTATCTCGATCGAGTGGACTAGTTTTTTATCGCGTGCGTGGCGCGTGGTGGGGGTAGCAGCTGCGCAGGAACGCACGAAGGCACCGCGCTAGCACGTAGGTCAAGTTACGATACTCTGCGCGCATTCAGTTCGCGGGGAGCGCTCGTACAGTGCGCGTTGTTGTCCCGTGTTCCTCTAGATGGTTGATCACGTGGGAAACATTGCGCCGAGTTTTCGCGATTCCGTGGCGGAGAAGGGCCGAGGGAAAGGGAATAAATGTGCGCGAGTCCGTAATGGACAACCCTAGCGGCGGAAGAGATAGTCGGTACGCAAGTCTTGGCTACAGCATGGGGATGATAGGCAGCGACGCTGGCTCGGAAATGTACGGCCGACCGTCCACCTCCCAACTTACAACTTCTCAAATAAGCCGCGGTGGCGCCACCATGATGGCAGCGGCGGCC